TTCTTATCATTTATGGCAAGGAAAACTCAACCACATGAAAGTCCTCCTCTATTCATTCTCGAAATGCATACATTATAGTTCAACAAATATTTTCTAGAGCACCCACCAATGAAATTCATCTGGAAATAAAAAGTCTATTGTCACATTGGCAATTTAAGGTGTAATCAAATTCGTCTTCGAGTCTAATAAATTGTTTGAAGTTGGACTTAAACATTTTCTCCAAATGTCTTGTTTGGTGGAAATTACCTCAACGAGAAAAAGACAAAGGTGAAGGAATCTATGCTAAGTTCACACCTATCTTTGTTTTTTTCTCTTTTTCTAATTTTAATATCCAATGGAACGTGGAGGCCACGGGCCCTTCGTTTATTTTAATGCAACTCGAGCAACGCACATATCTAGAAGTAATCTCTTGAGCTTATTTTTCTAATATTTTTGTGCTGATTTGAACAAGTCAAAATGAAAATACTTACGAGCCAAGTCCAAGCCCAAGCCAACGTTGATTTTAATGAAACACCAATGTTGGTTCTCGAGTTCTTGGCATTCGGGATCAGGTCTCCAGCACCCAAGCCAAGTCTATTGAGGTTGAGCCCGTAACCCTGGTGCCTGTGCCTTGGTCCCTGGCATCCACGCTCGGGTCCATCAAGGTCGGGGTTGGGACTTGGTGCTAGGGCCCAGGTCCCTCCAACCGGATTCATCAAGGTTGAGTAGGGAACCTCGGTGCCCATGCTCAATGCCCTGGCACTCGGGCCCTAGTCCACAAAGGCCAAGCATGGGATCACGCTACCTATGGTCAGGTCCCCGACACCCGGGCTCGATTCCACAAAGTTCGTGCCTGACACTCGAGCTCTAGTTCCTAGCACTTAGGTCTTGGTCCATAAAGGCCGTGCCTAGGTCCTCGGCGCTCAGGATCGAGTCCCTGGTGTCTGAACCGGGGTCTATTGTGGCCAAGGCCTGACATCCCAGTTTCCGTGCTCAGGTTCATCGAGGCCACAGTTGGAATCCAAGTGCCCATGCTCGGGTCCATCAATGGCGGGCCTGGTACCCTAGGGACGAGGTACCCGGTTCCCTGGATACACCCAAGCAGAAGTGTGGCAACCTCCCCACGGGCGGCCTCTCGACTGGTCGTGGGGGCGGTTAAGAGGCTAATGGATTAGATTTTAGATGTCAACAACAAGTTACCAGCACTTGAATAATGTATATCTATTTAGAAAAATTAAATCAGATTTTCTATAACGTTAGAAAATATTTTTCAGTTCATTTCCATGTTTCAGCCAAACACCAGAAAATATTTCACGGAAAATATTTCCGCAAAATAAACGGAGCCTTACAATATATTCCTTTCAACTAATTTTCGCCAAAAATCGCGACAGTGTGCTATGTAGAACGGCCGGTGATGATTGGACAGCCACGCTGGATACTATAATGGATTTTTATACAAATGTTTATGACTAAATAGAAAAAATTGAAAATTTTGTGTGGAATTGATATTCATACAATAAATTTAGGATTGATTGAGTAATCGTCCCTTGCTCTAAGAACCCACCAGTGAAATTCATCTCTAAATAGAAGGCCTAATGTAAATCAATTGTCTTAGAGCCTAATCGATGGTCTAAAGTAGGACGTAGACACTCTCTCCAGATGTCGTGTTTCGTGGAGATCACCTCAACGAAAGGACAAAAGTGAGAGAATCTATGCCAAGATCACACCTATCTTTGATTATCTTTCTAGCTTTAATATTCAAAATGAACGTGGAGGCCAGGGGCCCATCGTTTATTTTAACGCAACTCGAGCAATAAAACATATCTGAAAGTAATCCCGTGAGCTGCTTTTGGGATTTTGCTTCGTTGGCCTCCACATGCAAAACCAAAAACGAATCCCGAAAACAGAACAAAAAGATAAAAAAAACAAAAGGAAAGCAAGAAAAAGATACTTCAAAAGTACAGCGTTTACGCTGATTTGAACGGGTCAAATTGAATATACTACAACCATTATAGTACTTGATTGCATATGAAATTTTGTTCGCAATGATTTAAGATCATTTATCGATTAATCTCACTTAGCCCTATCAAAATAGATCATAAACTCATTTCTTAATCCATATATTAATAAATTGATTATAAATAGATTAATTGTATTTAGTAAATGGGTCATAAATATGTATAAGTCTAATATGGATATTAAATGGGTCATAAATGGATCGTAAATAGATAAAAAATGAGTTTACAACTAATTTAAACTCAACTCATTTCTCTCACCTTCACTCAATCTCGTGCTCACTCATTCTGCACTCTCATCTCAGTTTGGGTATAAATTTTCATAGATTTAGTTAAATATGGAAGTGTTTTAGCAATATGAGTCGGGTCGGGTATGAGTTGGGTATGAGCCAAGAAAATTGCATTGCGCATAAATGGGTCATAAAAGGGTTAATAGGTCAATTTGGGTCGGATATGAGTCGGGTATGAGCCAAGAAAATTGCATTGCGCATAAATAGGTTATAAAAGGGTTAATGGGTCAATTTGGGTCGGACCATTTATGACCCGACCCAAACCCAACCCAATCCACCCATTGACAGATCTAATCTCTTTGTAGCCACTTATACAATACAAGCTATCGAATCACACTCCATCAAGTTATGAACTTATTGAAATCTAACACTGTAGAGATAATATGGCTTGTTGAGTTTGAATTTCAAAATCCGTCGATTCTCTGGTGATTTCTTCGTCTTTGCGTTAGATTTGCATTGCAAGATCCGTGAACTTCTTTGTCATTTCTCAATATGGAAAATGCCGACCACTGCTACTTTATTGTTAAAGATTGTATCTTTATAAAATTTAATTATGAAAAATTGTGCTAAATTAAAATCTCCCCAAATATTTTTATAAAAAAGCGTAATCAAGCTCTAAATGTTTTTAAGAGAAAAGGCGTATCAAGCTCTAAATCCTGCCTTTGTTTTTAAAGAAAAATCGATATGAGAATAAACAACGTACAAAAAAATCCCAACTTCTTACTTAATTAAGTAAGCCAGCTACTTTGACCAATAAAAAAAAAAAAAAGGTAAGCCAACCACGAGTGTCGAGCTTGCATATAGAGCGCCCGTAGATATCGATATGGAAAATTCTACTCGCTTGTGTAATTATAAATTGTTTCTACGCCAGCGACTTCCGATCACAGCAAGTCGTTATTAGCCTAGTAGAAATTTTTATTTTTTCCACGTGCGATTACTCGAACGTTGCGCACAAACGAAATATCAGAGTCAAATTTGTGTAGCCTTGAGTGCCAACGTAAGACTTTGAAAGCATCATTATTATTTAGGCGGTCCATTCTACATTGCCAAGACGATGATCTTCTTCCTCACCAAGACAAGAACCAAGTAAAATGCCAAACCGCCGCCATCTCTGCACTCCCTCTCCTTCCATCTCCCTTTCCTCTTCCTCTTCATCTTCTTCTTCTCCGTGAGCTTCCATGGCGTCCGCTCCACTTTCTCGACCATTTGCGACCCCGCCGAATTGTTGTTCCTATGCGGCAACGTCACCGTCCGATATCCATTCTGGAACGACAGCGACACAGCCTTTCACTGCGGCTACCCAGGCCTCGGCCTCGAATGCCCGTATGGCTATCATTACCCGATCCTCTATCTTCCGGGCGATGCCTACTTCGTCACCGACATCAAATACGACGACGAAACCCTGACTCTCGTCGACATCGACGTCACCGACGTTGCCGGCCAGGAATGCCCCAGGGCCTGCCACAACCTCACGATCGGCTCGCTCCCGCTCGGTTACAACTCCGCCGACGTCAATCTCACCTTTTTCTTCAACTGCAGCGCTTCTCTGGGGGTGTCCATCGGCACCGGGGCCATCGATTGCTTGCTATCCGGTGGTAAGCAGTCGTACGTGTTCGTGAACATGAGCCAGGAGGAAGAGGCGGCGTTCGATGAGGCGTGGGACTGCAAGGAGATGGTGGTGGCGGCGGTGAAGGGGACGGAGGTGACGGCGGCAAACGTGGTGGAGCGGTTCGCCGGGGCGATGAGCAAGGGGTTCGTGCTTGACTGGGAGGTGGCCAAGGAGTGCGGCGCGTGCGAGCACTCCGGCGGGCGGTGCGCGTTCAACCAGACCAAGCAGGTGCAGTGCTTCTGCAACGACAAGTCCATTCACGCGGACGGTTCGGCATGCAAAGGTAAGAACGAGGTTTGTGTCTGTCCGTTTTCTGTCATTCTTCGTAAATGGTTTCTGCATTTTGTTCGCCAATCGCCATGCTTACTTTTTCAATGCTTGTCACTTCTTAGTTGCGTGTGATTTGATTTCTGCCATATGTTTTGATGTTGCCGCAGCCGTTAGAATATAGAAAAGTATGTGCTCGGTTGGCCAATTTCTTAATCAATGCTTTTCCAAAATTTGAAATGTAGCCACTTGTGCATGTTTAATAAAAAAACTTAAAGTAGAGAACTATCACGTATAAATAATAGTGGGGGTCAAGTGGGGGCTTCTTTTTCAGAAAGATGTCTTTTCTCCTTTCTTGCTATTATTGACTTTCGGAACTGAACAACTCCTTATGGCGGGGAGTTCCAGTTGAGTCTTAGGTCCCAGTACTCCAAGGACATACAAATAATAGGGGGTAGAGACAGATCCCACGTCTCGATAAAGATAGTGGCTAGGTTAATGCCCATAAGATTGTAGTAAAATCCTCCTAAGCAAGAGGTTAAACTGCTTCAACATATCTTAGATGTAAAACACACAGAGAGTATTTCCTCCTCTTGGGAAAGGCAAAAATACATGAAAAATTGGAAGGAGTATGGCGTGCGAGCACCGGCACAATAAAATAAGAAACACGGTCTCAGCTTGCCGCGTTACTGCCTTTGATCATATTCCTCCTAGGAATTGGTACCTAAAAAAAGGATTATTTTCAATAATACTTGAGGCCCGAGCGATTTATGAGCTTTAGCAATTTTCTGTAATTGAAAATGATGGCAAGTTATTGCTTCCAACGTGGGTCACCATCTTCATCATCGTGAATCACGAGAGATGGGCCCGATTCGGCTTGACCCTGGAGCCATGGCCCTTTGCCATCCACTGATCTTTAACCAAGTGGCTTTTTCTGGGGGCTGATATATCATCAGGCAAAAGTTTACGGAAACTCGTCCAGATGACAGTTTAGCCGCCTCAGTTCTGCTGAGGCTCCGATCCCCTTCTGTGTTTCTAGTCTATCTAGAACGCTGCTAACCCATCTTTGAAGGAGATTGGCAAAGCTCGTTTGATTAGTCGGGGCTGCCGCGTGAAGGAATTGTAAGATGCGGAATACTAGTCCAAGTCCTCCAAAGTCAAGTATACAATTAGCCAACAGCTCAAGTTGCTTGGCTAGTTTCCACGTGCCTCCTCCTCCTCCTTCTTTTTTAGCTTTTGTCTCGGGCGCCAAAGTCTTGGTCTTCGGATGACTTAAGACAAAGAGGTTCTCATTTTAGTGCATTGGGGGTCAAGTCATTTCCCAAAAGCAGCATTGTTCTTATCCCTCTGCATCCTCTTCCTTTTTACATGCACCCTCCTCCCTTGTTTTGCTCCCAACGCCATCTCCCTTCGGATGGATCTTACCATGTCGTGTTCTTCTCTCTCCTTGCTCTTCTTCATCTCCCTCCATGTTCACTTCCTCTTGCCAGCTTCCAGCGAATTCCAGCCGTTCCAAGAGTGCGCTCCTTTTCATTGCGGAGATCAACAAATCAGCTATCCTTTCAGGCATAAAGAGCAAAAAAGTTACTGTGGGTATCCCGGCTACGAGCTCGGCTGTGACGGACATAACCTGACCCTTCTCTCCATGGAGTCCCTGGAATATCGGGTAATCCACATGACTATGAGCACGAAGATCCTTGAGGTGGCAAGGATGGATTTATCGGACGATATATGTCTTGGAAGACATGTCGACACCACTTTAAACTCCATTCTCTTCGACTACACTTTCAATGACCGCAATTCCACCTTATTCTATGATTGCGATTCATCGCCAGTCCCTGAATCTCATCGATTCTCTTGTCCCCAATCTCAAGATGGCTACTTTGCTGTTGATGTGGACCATGCAAACCCACCACACGAGCTATGCAAGTTCAGTGTCCTTGTCCCAATTTCACAGAGTGATGACGCTCCAGCTCTACCACCACTACCACCGGAGGACAGCGCTGTTAGTGCTCCTATTAATCGTGCCGCTATTAGTTTGTTGCTGAACAGAGGCTTTGAGATCACCTGGATTGCCAACACATCGCAGTGTGAAAATTGCATCAAATCAGGTGGAAGATGCGGGTATGGCTGGAAAAGGCAAGGATTCAATTGTTTTTGCGCCGATGGAGTCCATTCAAAGACTTGCGAGGGTATGTATGCTTACCCTCACCTAATATCTGGTTTTCAATTAGCTAATGTTCTTCCATGGGAGGGACACTGGGTTTGCTTGTTAATTGGACATCGCCCCGCTCATGCTTTTAAAAGCCTGACGATCTCATTTTGCTGGGCATGCCCTTCCCTCTTATATGATGAAGTGCTGTCATCTCATCCTCGCTATGACATGATCACGATACAATTTAGACTGCAAGTCCTAAAACTATATCACCCCATTCTCAACAACCTTCCTTGCCTTAACTGTTGGATCATTAGGTCGGTATCTGTAAACCCACGAGATCCAACGGTTTAAATACAATTAGCGAAGACGCTCCGAATTCACCATAAAACTTCACATCATGGGCAAGTAATTTAGGTCGGAATGCCTTAGCCGAATAGTCAATTTACATAAAAATTTAGGTTTGACTTGTTCTTTACTACTCATAACATGAACTGTTGACCCATCAAATGGGCTAGACTTTTTCACAAGTGGGAACCTAGAGAAAAGTTTCACTCTTCAAATTCAACTACATGGAAAGAAATCCAGAGGAAATTGCTTTGGACGGGGAAAATTGTCAAAAAAATCCTAAACCTATTGTACGGCGGCCAATTCAATCCTAAACCTTTTAATTTTGCTAATTCAGTCCTAAATCTATCTAATTCTTGCCAATTCAATCCTTCCGATCAATTTTGACCGGCCGGCGCTGACGTGGCCGCCAGCCGGCGCCGGCCATCCAGCCAACGCTGACGTGGCAATTTTTTATTATTATTTTAAATCTTTTTTAATCTTTTTTTTCTTTTTTTTTTTTTTCTTCCTCTGGCCAGTCCGGCGATCGGCGGCCAGCCAAAGGGCCGACCTCGCCGTCGCCTGGGTCGCGACGGCGAGGTCGACCCTCGCCAGATCTGGGCAAGGGTCAACCTCGTCGTTGCGACCCAAGCAACGGCGCGATCGGCCTCGCCGCTGCTGGGCCTCGCCTTGCCCAGCAACGGCAAGGCCGACCTCACCCAGCAGCGGCGAGGCCGACCTCGCCGTCGCGACCCAAGCGACGGAGAGGGTCGACCTCGTCGTCGCGAACCAGGCGACGGCGAGGTCGGCTTCGCCTCAGCAACGGCGAGGTCAACCTCGCCGGCCCTCCCCTCTGGCCGACCGCCGGTCACCGGTCGCCGGACCGGCCAGAGGAAGAAAAAAGATTAAAAAAGATTAAAAAATTGAAAAAAAAATAATAAAAAATTGCCACTTCAGCGTTGGCCAGACGGCCGACGCTGGTCGGCGGCCACGTTAACGCCGGTGGGCCAAAATTGACCAAAAGGACTGAATTGGCAAAATTAAAAGGTTTAGAACTAAATTGATCGTCCGCCGTATAATAGGTTTAAGACTTTTTTGACAATTTTCCCGCTTTGGATGTGTCCTTGCCACTCTTTCCTCATCACTTCCTCATCACCTTCACGAAATGTCAGAAGACTGGAACTGGTCTCGGTCAAAGTCAATGGTCAGAATAGTTTTTTTTATATTATACTTAGAAGAATTAACCACATCCATCTCTTTTACACTTCAGTCTTCGGAGAAATTGAATAAGAAAAGAATTTCTCCATCCTCAGCATGCCCCTCTGAACTCTAAACCTTCATTCCACATGATATTATCCACCCATGAGAGCGTGAACTTACTCAAATGGGTGACGCGGCCCCTCGCCATCTCTCCTCCCCTTCGCACTCCATCCTCGTCTTCATCCTCATCGTCGCATGAGTTCGAAGGAGACGAAGATGTCCACTGTACCGAATGCCGCCACTTTTTTATTTGCGGAACCGTCCAAAATTGAACTTACCCTTTCTGGGGAGGCGATCGACCCCAGTTCTGTGGACTTGAAGGATTCAAGGTCGAGTGCTCTGAGGACGAGTACCCTATCCTTGAGTACCAAGCGCAAAAGTATCGAGTCCTCGAGATTGATCAACATCTTCGTTCGTGCTTGCGTGAGTTTAGGAAATACTAGCATGATGGATTCCACTCTCTTCCATATGAACCCCGCCGTTAAGAGCCTCAGCATCTTCTATGGATGTTTGGACACGTTGAAGAACAGACACAACGAGTTCGAGCGCTTCTATGACGACTCCAGGAAGTCGGCTTTCTTCATGGATGACATTTTCTGCCGCCTCCTTCCAGTCCAAATGAATCTCCAAAACTTCATGTGTGGAGCTAATTGTCGCCAATCGGTCCTTGTCTTCATCTTCACCAACTTAGTCTATCAGGCTCTGTTGGATGATGCGCAATACGAGGCCCAAATGAATAATTGAGGCTTATAGATCATGTTCAAATGAATCTCCAAAAAGTATATGTATTTTTTGAGAGTTTTAGGATTTAATTGTACTTTTCCGACAAGTTTGAGGACTTAATTGTACTCTTCGAAAATTTTAAAACTCAATTATACTTTCGCGACAAATTTTAAGACTACCAGTGCACTTCTTCATATCAAATATCATCAGTCATAGTTAGAGAAACTCGTCCAGATAAGGTTAGCGTCAGTTTTTGAGGCTCCCATCCCACTTCTGTTTCTAGTCTTAGGCGATGGGCCTGCGCCTATCTAGAACGCTGCTAACTATTTCTTGAGGTCCTTATGAAGGGTCCTCAAGTGAATCGTGAACGAGATCGGCAAAGCTCGTTTGATTAGGCGGGGCTGCGTGTGGAAATTGTTGCGTGGGGATACTAGTCCAACTCCTCCTAAGTCAAGTTTACAATTAGCCATCAGCTCAAGCTACTTGGCTGGTTTCCACATGCCTTATTCTCCTCCTCCTTTTTAGCTTTGGTCTCGGGCGCCAAAGTCTTGGTCTTCGGAAGACTAATTCAAGAGTTTCTCATTTCAGTGCATTGGATCAATTCATTCCCCAAAGCAACATTATTCTTATCCCTCTGCATCCTCTTCCTTTACATGTACCCTCCTCCTTGTTTAGCTCCAAACACCATCTCCCTTCGGATGGATCTTACCATGTCGTGGTCCTCTCTCTCCTTACTCTTCATCTTCTCCCTCCATATTCACTTCCCCATGCCAGCTACCAGCTACTTCCAGCCGTTCCTGGATTGCGCTCCTTCTAATTGTGGAGATGAAGAAATCAGCTATCCTTTCAGGCATGTTACGCAACCAACTTACTGTGGGTATCCGGGCTATGAGCTCGGCTGTGACAGAGATAACTTTACCCTGTCCATGGGGTCCCTGGAATATCGTGTGATCCACATATATAGGAGTGAGCAGATCCTTGAGGTGGCGAGGACGGATTTATCGAAAGATATATGTCTTCAAAAATATGTTGACACCACTTTAAACTTCAGTCTCTTCAACTACGATTTCACCTACCTCAATTATACCTTATTCTACAATTGCAACTCATCCTCAACCCTTCAACCTTATCGATTCTCTTGTCCCACGTCTGGCGATGGCTACTTTGCTCCAAAAGTGGACCTTGGAAACCCACTGCACGAGCTATGCAACTTCAGTGTCCTTGTCCCAATTTCGTTAATTAAAGCTCTAGGTCTACCACCACCATCGGAGGGCAACAATGATAGTGCTACTATTAGTGAGGTCCTGAACGAAGGATTTGAGATCACCTGGATTGCCAACAGATCGCAGTGTGAAAATTGCATCATATCAGGGGGAAGATGCAGGTATGACTGGACAAAGCAAGAATTCAATTGTTTTTGCCCTGATGGAGCCTATATACCTGCCACAGACCGCCAGTACCAGCAATCGCCCCTTCGACACCGCCAGTACCAGGAATCAGCCCTTCAAGTATGTATGCTTACTCTCACCCAATATGTGGTTTTCAATTACCTAAAGTTGTTCGGTGAAAAGGATTGCTGGGCATAACCTTCCCTTTGCTTGTTAATTTGGAAAACTTCCCGCCCATGCCCCTAAAGCCTCACAATCTCATTTTGCTGTGCATACCCTTCCCTCAAACAAAGTGCAGAATCCTCACTACGATATACATGATCGTGTTACAATTTAGACTCAAGGTTTAAAACTTTATCATCCCATCTCCTGCAACCTTCCTTGCCCTAATCGTTTGATCATAAGGTCGGTATTTGCGACCCCCAAGATCCAACGGTTTAAATACATCGAGTGAAGATGCTCCGAATTCACTGTTAACTTTCACACCAGGGAAGAGTAATTCAAATGGGAGTAGTGCATTAGCCGATAGGTCAGTTAACCTAAAAGTTAGGTTTGACTTATTCTTTACTACTCATAACATAGAACTCTTGACCCCTCAAATGGGCTAGACTTTTTCACGAAGTGGGAACCTAGAAAAAAGTTCTTCACTCTTCAAATTCAACTACATGGGAAGAAATCCGGAGGAAATTGCTTTGCATGTTTCCTGGCCACTCCTTCCTCATCACTTCTTCATCACCTTCGCGAAACGTCAGAAGACTGAAACTGGTCTCGGTCAAAGTCAGCGGTCAGAATAGTTTTTTTATATTATACTTAGAAGAATTAATTACATCCATCTCTTTCACACTTCAGTCTTCGGAGAAAGTGAATAAGAAAAGAATTTCTCCATCCTCAGCATGCCTCTCTGAACTCTAAACCCTCATTCCACATGATATTCTGCACCCATGAGAGCGCGAACTTACTCAAATGGGTGACGCAGCCGCTCTCCTTCTCTCCTCCACTTCACACTCGATCCTCGTCTTCATCCTCGTCATCCTCATCGTCCCGCGAGTTCTTTTGTGCGAGGGAGACAATGATGTCCACTATACCAAATGCTGCCGCTCTTTTAATTGCGGAACCGTCCAAAATCTAACTTATCCTTTCTGGGGAGGCGATCGACCCCAATTCTGTCGACCTGAAGGATTCAAGGTCGAGTGCTATGAGGAGCAGCACCCTATTCTTGAGTACCGAATGCAAGGGTATCGAGTCCTCAAGATTGATGTCAACATCTTCATACGATCACGATTGCAAGGATGGATCTGATGGACGGTATGTGCTTGCGCGAGTTTGTGAATACTAGCATAATGGAGTCCACTCTATGCCATATGAACCCAGCCGTTAAGAGCCTCAGCATCTTCTACGGATGTTTGGGCACGTGTAAGAACATATGCAACGAGTTCGAGTGCTTCTACGACGACTCCAGGAAGTCGGCTTTCTTCATGGAAGACATCTTCTTTGACAGAGAGCTCCCTTTTAACGTCACCAGCTGCCTCAAGAGCATCAAGGTTCCTGTTCTACAGAGCACGCTCGATGATCTCGAAAGAGGCAATATCAGCTTGCAGGAAGCTTTGAATCGAGGGTTCAATGTTCAGTATAGTGACCAACCTGAGTGCTCGTCGTGCGCTTCTTCCGGCGGGTTTTGCAGTAGCAACTCCTCTTTGCCATCATCTAGTTTCACGTGTTATTGCCGCGACGGACCCTACGCTCGTCCCTGCAATCACCCTGGTACGTTCTTTAGGTAGCATTCCCAGGTGATCATTCTCAACTTCATTTGGTGGGCTCTTGTTTACATAGGCGTGTGAGATTCTGTTTTCGACCACGTAGAATATGCACGAAAATCGCTAAACCTCGAGCTGCTGTGGAGTTAGTTTCGATTAGTGCCTCGAAGATCATATGGCCAATGGACCCCAAGAATTTGTCGAGAGAAAACTCGATCCGATCAAATCTGATCCGCTTGTTTCTTTTGTTGGAAATTCGATGGCGCCATACTTTGTTTTGTCTTCCTCCATCTAAGAATATCATGCGACAAGAATGACTTCTCTTTTTGGGGCGCCTAGCAGGAGGAAATTTCAAGTTAGCTACTGCTTGGCCATCAATTCTTCAGGAGAGAGACTCGTTTTCGCTGACTAGTCACGAAGATTTGTATAATGGGAGGCTTGTTCCTAATTGTAATTTAGAGGTCCCTTTGACTAGGAATTTTCATGGTTTGTTCCACAGGATTTTGTGGAGCAATTTTTTCGCAAATTTTCTTCGTTGGGTGTTCGAATAATGCACGCATCAGACCACTTTTTGCCTCGCTTGGTATTTGCCTAGAAGTTGAAGAACTACTACACGACAGTGATAGGAGTTTTGACCAATTCAAACCAACTCCATTTGATGTTTCTGCAAATGCTTTCCACCCTCTCTCCTACCTCTTTCTCCTATACTCTGGAATCCTCTGCCTCCTCCTGGTCCAAATGAATCACCAAAACTTCATGTGTGTAGCTAATTGTCACCAATTCGTTCTTATCATCATCTTCACCAACTTAGTCTATCTGGCTCTATCAGATGATGCACAATACGAGGCATGCATGCCTCGGAACTGTAGATATGGGCCGAACATCAGCTACCCTTTCTGGCGAACAAGACTCATATTGTGGCTATCTGAATTTCGAGATTTCCTACAAAGAGATATACCCTGTCCTGACTTTCTCGGACGGGGAGTTCATTATCAATAGTATCTTCTATGCGAACAATTCGTTCCTCCTGGTTAATGCCCCTGTGTACCAGGAATCCTGTGATGCTCCGCGAGTAATATCAGCCTTGAAAAGACACCTTTCAATCTAAGTTTCACTAATGCCGATTTGTTCTTCTACTATAATTGCACCTCGCAGCCGACAGGTTTTTACTTATCCAGTGGATTGTGCTAGCAACTCCACCCACCATTCTTTTGCTTTTCTTCCCGAGAAAGCATTGCAGGAAATGGATTACTATTTTGCCGTCAGCACCTGCTATTCTGCAGTTAGCATACCTGTTTAGGTTAATGTCAACTTCACTCGCTTGATGACTATGAATTACAGTGAGATTATGAAAAGAAAGGGTTCCCATTGAACTGGACTGCAATTAATGCAGCAAGCGTGAGGCAAGTGAGGGATGGTGTCGATTCGAGAACACTAGTTTTGTTTGCCATTGCCAAGATGATCCTCATTCTCATGCCTGCAATGATGGTAAATGTGGGGGTGTCGTTCATACTTCCTGTTGGGGGTCGCCGGGGCAGCGCCCCTAAGCCGCTAGAGGGTTTTTATAGTTTGAGCCCGATAAAGGAAAGTTTCCTAATTTTATTAAGTTTCACAATTGAATGTGATGGAAACAGACGCGGAAAAACAAATACAGAACATAAGGATTTACGTGGTTCGATCACAAGGTGATCTACGTCCACGGGCGAGGCAAGACAAGATTCCACTATAATCAAAGAGAGTACAGTTTTCAGAAATCGAAACAACGACAAAAGCTCACGGCTCACAAAACTCTCCGAAAACAAAATTCTCTCTCGGTAACAATGAGAAAACCTAGCCGCGGTATAAATAGGGCTCTCCAAAAATTTTCTCGAGGGCTTAGCCCCCGAACCTCCCGAGGCATTTGTTCACTTGTTCCAGCTCGAGCGGACCGCCATAAAGATTTGTTCACTTGCTCCAAATTGGGCCTATCGGCCCAACCCTCCGCGTCACGAACCAAATCTCAATTTTTCTCCACTTTCGGGTCGCACAAAAAATATGTCAAGTCGGGTGATGAACTGGACCAAGTATATAAAATTCAAGACATATTTAACAGAATGGTTTCATAATTGGAGTAGGTTTCCTAGAAAGAGATTTCCTATTTTGAATTAAAATATTGCCTATATATATTTTCTTTCTCTTGTAATTGAGAGATATAATGGAGAGATGCGAGTTGCTAATATAGTGGAATTCTCAGCTGGACTAGCCCTAATTTGAGGGTGAACCAGGATAAAACCTTACGTCTCAAATTCTCTTTCTCACTTTTACTCTCTATTTTCTTTGTGATTGTGCGGCGAATCTTAATAGTAAATTCCTGGGGGATTCCTTTTTCTGCTTTTGCTTCTTGACTGAGATTTCATATCTACTGTTTTGCTTGATCTTTCATTTCTACTTGCGGAGGGATGGTGTGGATTAGAACTTTACCGCAACCTTCTCGGCCTTGATTGTTTGATCATGACGTTCCCTCTTGAGTCCCACAAGATCCAATGGTTTATATGTATTGAGTGAAGATGCACCGAATTCACGGTAAAATTTGCAAATATCAGACGAAAGCAACTTGCTTTTCTTGGTGGGATTCTTTTGTGCACGCAACCAAACAGAAAAAAGCTTCCGCCTCTGCTAGTGATGCTAAAATCTGATCCAGTGTGCAGTTGAAATATATAACATTGATAGATTTGAACTCTACATATAAAACCGTTTTTCAGTGTGGATCCAAGCATGAACAATACATACTTCCATTCGAGATATATGCACGATCTATTGCACCGTAGGCAGCACTCTTTTACTAGTTTCATCACAACTTCATTCAGGATTTATTTGATAAGCCTTTGTGTCCTAGCAGGGAAACGTGACATTTTGGGGACAAAAGCAATAATAGGTAATCCGTTAAATTGTGTTTTCATTGAATATTTTCTATAAAGATCCGCAACTTAGAAGCCTCGATGAAGTAAGATTGTTGTTTGAAAATGTTCTCTGTTTTTTCAGGAATAGCAGCATCAGGAGCTGGATTTGGGATTGCCCTTATATTGATGCTTTCCTTCAGGAAGAAACCAATGATCAGAAGAATAATGGGTTTGATAAAGCAGGAGAGTGAACATTACGATGGCGAAATGAAAATCGAGGGACTCATCTCTTTGAAAAGATACACCTACAAAGACATCAAAAGGATGACCAACTCTTTCGAAGAAAAGTTAGGCCAAGGAGGCTATGGCTGCGTGTACAAGGGCAAGCTTCGAGATAGTCAACTTGTGGCGGTGAAGCTTCTAAAGAAGCTGACAGGTGATGCAGAAGAATTTTTCAATGAAGTTGCGAGCATAAGCAGGACTTCTCATGTCAATGTTGTCAACCTCCTGGGGTTTTGTTTAGAAGGAAGCAAAAGAGCGTTGGTTTATGAGTTCATGCCCAACGGATCACTCGAAAAGTTCATATTCAGTAGGAGTAACACTTTGGAGGTAGATCAACAATTGAGTTGGGACACATTGTACCAGATTTCGCTTGGCATAGCTCACGGGCTAGAGTACTTGCATAGAGGATGCAACACAAGGATCTTGCACTTCGACATAAAGCCTCACAATATTCTTCTTGATGCAAACTATTGTCCTAAGATTTCCGACTTTGGTCTTGCCAAAATATGCCCAAGAGAAGAGAGCATCGTGTCAATGCTAGGTGCCCGGGGCACTACCGGATACATTGCTCCGGAGCTGATCATTAGGAACATCGGAGGGGTTTCTCATAAATCGGATGTCTATAGTTATGGCATGATGGTTCTGGAGATGGTCGGTAGGAGGAAAAACATTGAGGTCATGGTAGATCGTACTAGCGAAATATACTTTCCTCATTGGGTCCACCGACGCTTGGAGCTCCAAGAAGAGCTTGGGCTACATGGGATCACAAATGAGGAGGAAGAAGGAATCGCGAAGAAGATGATTATAATAGCCTTATGGTGAATTCAGATCGATCCCAGAGCTCGACCATCTATGACCCAAGTTGTGGAGATGCTAAAAGGAAGCGTTGAGGCCTTGCAAATTCCTCCCAAACCAACCCTGTCATCTCCCTCAAGATTGCTCACGGCTTGTCCTTGTGAAAGTTCATCTACGCGAGAGAGTAATGACTCGAATTTGGGTTATTCAATATCAGTTATATCAAATTGACATAGTTTGTAATAGAGTATTATTTAGAAAAAAAAAACAATCGTGACTATTGAACTGTTGACAAATTTGCGATCAAATGTCTAGGTTTAATTTCTATAGTATGATGCACACAAAAAAGTGAAAAGTGCATTAATTTAAACTATAAGTAGAGTTTGGCATTTATCCAAATAGAGTTTAGATTGTGTAAAATGGATAACATGTTAAGCAAATGTATTATATAACCTCCTTTTATTTGAGATCTTTCAAATGAACTCTTGAATTGGATAGGCCTAATCCATATATTAAGTATAGCTAAGAGATATGTCAGTTCATAGAAAGACTTTATTATAGATTATTCTAGATGACTAATTAAGCAACAAATGTTACTCTAACATGCCGACTTCCTTTGTAACTAAGATTGATCAATGTCTACAAAATTCCTTGTTATCTAGGTTTAGTAAGTGATTCTGAGGTACTCATTAATGATACATGTTCCGATATAAATTCCTCACAAATCGTTTTGTAGAATTTTCATTCTCCATTCTCCATAAAGTAGCTATCTACCTGACTGTAAAGGTATCGACAGATGATCCTGCATTATGAGAAGCTGATTTATCTTCTTCTATTTTTGTTTGATAGAGTGATTGTGCTTATGCTTTGTGACTCAAAGTGTTCATCTGGCATGATCTCAGGGATATATATTTTCTTCTAAAGTTAGACATTCTAAACCTCATTCCATTATCACATGTTTACCTGACGTTTTTCTTTTTACTCGTGAATCAAATGTTGACAGATGGGAAATCAAAAGGAGAGGAGTGGAGCTACCTATGATAGAAAACTTCTCGGTTTAGAGCATCCTTAAGTTCGTTGATGAGATCCCTGTTTTGAAATGGAGATATTACGCGATGCTCTCATTCCTCGGAGTATCTTGCTACCTAAGTCTCGTGCAGGAGCAGTTCCCCATTATTAGCTTAAACAAATATCCAATTTGACTTTCAACCATTACGCACTCTCTCGGTATAATTTTAAACCTTGAAAAAACTGTTCTTAGAGCTCAAGATGATTCACTTGTGCAAGCAACCGATCAGGATGGTGGGCTTACTTGGTCCTTTCTCCTTATGAATCCTTCATCTCATGTAATCACTATGAAATTGACATTTTAAAACTTGCATCATCTGCTGCATTTACATAGAATGTTCTGCAGTATGTTTTCAAATACAATACTGTAATAGCTTCTGTGATTCATATCATGGATTACGTATTTTAGGCTTGATTACAGGCATGAGTTTTCGAGTCCACTCGAATGAAGTCGGTTTCGCCATTGCAGGAAGGAATATGGGATGCTACATGTGCATGGAAATGTGAAAGACTCAGAGGAGAGTAGATGGGCTGAGTACGATGCAATGAAATTGCCAGATCTAAAGGTAAGAATTTGCACAATATTTTGGTGAACTATAATGTATGCATTTCGAGAAGGACTGAGAGGGGAATGATTTTCACACTGAGGAAGAATCAACCACATCCATCTCTTTCACATTTCAGTCCGGAGAAAGTGAACGAAAAACGAATTTCTCCGTCCTATAAAAAAGTCTTTTTCACAGTGAGAACCTACAAAAAAGTCTCACTTTTCAATCTCAACTACATGGGAAGAAATCCGGAGGAAATTGCTTTGCATGTTTCCCGGCCACATCTTCCTCATCACTTGCTCATCACCTTCACGAAATGTCAGAAGACTGAAACTGGTCTTGGTCAAAGTCAGCGGTCAGAATAGTTTTTTTTATACTATACTTAGAAGAATTAACCACATCCATCTCTTTCACACTTCAGTCTTCCGAGAAGGTAAATAAGAAAAGAATTTCTCCATCCTTGGCATGCCTCTCTTAACTCTAACCCCTCTTTCCACATGATATTCTGCACCCGTGAGAGCATGAACTTACTCAAATGGGTGACGCAGCCACTCTCCTTCTCTCCTCCCCTTCACCCTCCATCCTCGTCTTCGTTCTCGTCGTCCTCATCGTCCCACGAGTTCTCTTATGCGAGGGAGACGACGATGTCCACTATACCAAATGCCGTGGCTCTTTTAATTGTGGAACTGTCGAAAATTTAACTTATCCTTTCTGGGGAGGTGGCCGACCCCAATTCTGTGGACTTGAAGGATTCAAGGTCGAGTGCTATGAGGAGCAGCACCCTATCGTTGAGTACCAAGTGCAAAAGTACCGAGTCCTCAAGATTGATCAACATCTTCGTACAATGACGATCGCGAGGATGGATCTGATGGACGGTATGTGCTTGCGCGAGTTTTTGAATACTAGTATAATGGAGTCCACTCTCTTCCATATGAACCCAGCCGTTAAGAGCCTTAGCATCTTCTACGGATGTTTGGACACGTTGAAGAACGTAAGCAATGAGTTCGAGTGCTTCTACAACGACTCCAGGAAGTCGGCTTTCTTCATGGATGACATTTTCTTGAATAGTCACCCGTTTAACGTCACCAACTGCATCAAGAGCATCAAGGTTCCTGTTCTTCAGAGCGCCCTCGATGATATTGGCAGACGCAATATCAGCTTGCAAGAAGCTTTGAATCGAGGTTTCGATGCTCAGTATAGTGACCAACCTGAGTGCTCGGCGTGCGCTTCTTCTGGCGGGTTATGCAGTAGCAGCTCCTCTTCTTCATCATCTAGTTTCACGTGTCATTGCCGCAACAAACCCAACGCTCGTACCTGCAATCACCCTGGTACGTTCTTTAGGTAGCATTCCCAAGTGATCATTCTCTACTTCATTTGGTGGGTTCTTTTCTGTATCAGCGCATGAGATTCTATTATCGACAGCGTAGAATATGCACGAAAATCACTAAACCTTGAGCTGCTGTGGAGTAAGTTTTGATTAGTATCTCGAAGATCATATGGCCAATGGACCCCAAGAACTTGTCCAGAGAAAACTCGATTTGATTGAATGTGATCCGCTTGTTTCTTTTGTTGGAAATTTGATGGCGCCATACTTGTTTTGTCTTCCTCCATCTAAGAATATCATGCGACAAGAATGACTTTTCTATGATTTTCCATTTTGGGGCGCCTAGCAAGAGGAAATTTCAAGTTAGCTACTGCTTGGCCATCAATTCTTCATGAGAGAGACTCGTTTTCGCTGACTAGTCACGAAGATTTGTATAATGGGAGGCTTGCTCCTAATTGTAATTTAGAGGTCCCTTTGACTAGGAAGTTTCATGGTTTGTTCCTCAGGATTTTGTGGGGAAAATTTTTTGCAAATTTTCTTCATTGGGTGTTTGAATAATGCACGCATCAGAAGACTTTCTGCCTCGCTTGGTATTTGCTTCGAAGTTGAAGAACTAGCACATGACCGTGATAGGAGCAAACCAACCATTTGATGTTTCCACAAATGCTTTCCACATTCTCTCCTACCTCTTTCTCCTTTCCTCTGCAATCCTCTGCCTCTTTCCTGTCCAAATGAATCATCAAAACTTCATGTGTGTAGCTAATTGTCACCAATTGGTCCTTATCATCATCTTCACCAACTCAGTCTATCTGGCTCTATCGGATGATGCATAATACGAGGCCTGCATGCCTCGGAACTGCAGCTATGGGCCGAACTTCAGCTACCCCTTTAGGATTTCTGGCGAACAAGAGTCCTATTGTGGCTATCCGAATTTCCAGATTACCTGCAAAGAGATATACGCTGTCCTGACTTTCTCAACGGGGAGTTCATCAACAAGGATATCTTCCATGCGAACAATTCGTTCCTCCTAATTAATGCCCCCATGTACCAGGAATCCTGTGATGCTCCGCCTTGTAATATCGGCCTCGAAAGGACACCTTTCAATCTCAGTTCCACTAATGCTGATTTGTTCTTCTGCTATAATTGCACCTCACAGCCGACAGGTTTTTACATATCCAGTGGTCTGTGCTAGCAACTCCACCCACCATTCTTTGCTTTTTTCCCGAGGAAGAATTTGGAAATGGATTACTATTCTACCGTCAGCTCCTGCTATTCTGCAGTTAGCATACCTGTTTACATTAATGCCGATTTCAATAGCTTGAAGAAGGGGTTACTATTGAACTGGAATGCAATTACTGCAATTAATTGTTAGATCTTTATGGTTTAAATACATTGAATAGAGATACTTTGACTTTACTGTAAAATTTTGCAAATTTTGGGCTAAAACTACTGGTTTCTTCTTCGGCTTTTATTATGAACACAACCAAATGAAAAGAAAAACTATGTCTCCACAAGTGGTGCTAAAATCTGGTCATTTGTGTAGTTGAAATAAATTATTGATAGAGGTGAACTGCGCACTTATTTATACGTGCTGTTAATAATGTCCTTAAGCTTTTCCAATTTCTTCGCCTTGGCTTAGACTGTGGACTCGCTTACCACTGCATAGAAAACTCTCCAATCTCTTGGGTCCCAAGATTTGTTATCGGAATCTCATATATTTTTTATGTTTCTATCTTTCTACAATAGTTTGCGAGTTATCAAATGGGTGTTTACGATTCAAGAAGCTTGAAAATTCTTGCCTGAACATCAGCTGCCCACTTGTTTTATCCGTGGAATGACTTCTACTCAACCCTATAGGTCCATTTAGAAGCCAAAAGAGTTGAGACATGACTAGAACATCCCGCCCATTCAATTAGTGCCACAGAAAGTTTATATCTGCCTTCGCCTCTGATACCACATTGTTGATCATATTGCAGAGTATTTGCTACTTCTGTACCAGTTAGAATTTTTTTTTGCCTGTCTTCCTGTGCATCCCCTAGAGCTTTTTCCTGTCTTCCTGTGCATCCCCTGATAGCTCTAGTATCCAGGATTTTAGCTAATGTCTATCCTTGTTAGTCAATCAGCTACAGATCCATTAGCATGTGCTTCCAATTTCTCTAGAAAGATGTCACTAATTGATCCACGAAAAGAGTTCAAGAGGAGGACTGAGCCAAACTGGTGAAATTGTAATCTTTTCACTCGATCGTGGTCCTTTTTCTTTCTTGAAACTGAATGTGCTATAACCTCATGATGTTCCCTGATCCTTATATCTTAGACACTTTGAACTCATCAGTGTGCAATTCGGTTGACACATTTTTTACTTTTGACGACTGCTGTCTCAGGAAAACGAAAGGTTGGACTGAAAATCGGAATAGGTAATTATTTCAAGACTCACTCTTCCACTTCTCTATATTTTCTCTCCAATTAGTTCCGACTCTATGACAGTAAGCTTGTATCAGTGCTCAACGGAATCAATGTTTGCAATAAAATCTCAGAAGCCTTGATAAAATGATGAAGTGAGATTGCTACTCAAAAATATTCTTCGTTTTTTTAGGAATGGTTGCATTAGGAGCTGGAATTGTGGTCACCCTTATCTTAATGCTTTCCTTCACGAATAAACCAGTGATCAGAATGATTATGGCTTTGATAAAGCATAGGAGCGAACATTGCGATGGTGAAATGCAAATCAAGGGACTCGTCTTTTCGAGAAGATACACCTACAAAGACATCAACAGGATGATTAACTCTTTTGAAGAAAAGTTAGGCCAGGGAGGCTATGGCTTCGTGTACAAAGGCAAGCTTCGAGACGGTCAACTTGTGGCAGTGAAGTTGCTAAAGAAGCTGAAAGGTGATGCAAAAGAATTTTTCAATGAAGTTGCAAGCATAAGTAGGACTTCTCATGTTAATGTTGTCAGCCTCATAGGGTTCTGTTTTGAAGGAAGCAAAAGAGCTTTGATTTATGAGTTCATGCCTAATGGATCACTCGAGAAGTTTATATTCAACAGGAGTAACACTTGGGAGGTAGATCAGCAATTGAGTTGGGACACATTGTACCAGATTTCGCTTGGCATAGCTCATGGGCTAGAGCACTTGCATAAAGGATGCAACACGAGGATCTTGCACTTTGATATAAAGCCTCACAACATTCTCCTTGACGCAAACTATTATCCCAAGATTTCTGACTTTGGTCTTGCCAAAATATGCCCAAGAGAAGAGAGCATCGTGTCATTGCTTGGTGCTCGGGGCACCGCCTGATACATTGCTCCGGAGCTGATCATAAGGAATATCGGAGGGGTTTCTCACAAATCGGATGTCTATAGCTACGGTATGATGGTTTTGGAGATGGTTGGTAAGAGGAAAAATATTGAAGTCACGGTAGATCGAACCAGCGAAACATACTTCCCTCATTGGGTCCACTGACGCTTGGAACTCCGCGAAGAGCTTGGGCTATGTAGGAATGTAGGGTTCATCAACGAAAAACAACGCAGCGGAATATAGAACCCTAGACAGGATCCATGTGTATATTGAAATCGAAAAGGAATTTCGATACGTACCTTTTGCAGATCGAAGATAAATCAGCAACTGATTGTGTCTGGATGAGCGCCCCAAGCGTTGCGCCTCTACCGGTATCCACACACACGAACGGAATTCTCCAACGATCCACGTGCTAGCGAAAGATCTTGAAGTTCCTTTTCTTGAACGCCTTTTGATTTTCGATACTCTATCGAAAAACCCTAGACAGAGCACGATTCTCTATCTATTTATACAGCCTCATTATCTAGCGGAATTAAAAGGAGTGGGCCGGCCTATTTGGGCCCGCCAAACCGTCCACCATTCAATCGTACGTTTAATCGTTATCTCATAATGCGCACGATCGCATATATAATTTAAATAGGAGAATAAATTAAAATCTACTTCTTAAGTAGATCAAGGCGCATAGACAATATTAAGTCCGTTCGCTATTGTGTGCGACCCTGTAGGTTCACTAAACATTAGCAGTGTGCCCAAAACTCTTTTGGCCCACAAGTCATAAGCAGTCTCTAGCAAAACATTATGACTACCTAAGTATAGTGAAGATCGGTTTTCCGACACAACCTAATCCACAACTAATATTAGAGTATCAACATTGATTGATTCTTAGGGCAGACCACTAACAATCTCCCACTTGCACTAGAACCAATCATATAAACTAAGTCTCTTTGTCACTTGATTTCCGAGTTAAGCATAAGACAAGACAAGTGTCATCCTTATATAGCTTAAACTCATTTTCCCGATACCGCAGTTAGACTGTCAAAACAAGTAGTTGACTCTTCAACTAACTTGAGCATGGCCATGCATTTCACAGTCTCAACTCTATGGGAGGCCAGGAAATCATACCCTCGTTATATGAGAGGGACAAATCCCATCTTGTCTACTCACATCACTCAGCACGCTTCATGACATACCCAGCCATTACCTTTATAATCACCTGTTACGGCTGACGTTTGGCAATGTTAAAGCACGCCAATCCACGTCTAGGAAACCATGGCAGACTCAGGTCAAAGGACTATACTCTATAGCTATGATGAGAAATACTGATGACATTATATAACAATCCTACAGTATTCTCATAGCGGGTCGGTCCAATACAATGTTCTCCAACATGTATTCCATGTGATCAACTTTATATCTCTATATTCATGACCTGTGAAACTTGGTCATCAGTTGACTCACATGCTAATCTCAAACGCCATTTGCATCCCAATGCACAATGGCAATTGACTAGGGACATTTAGAATATTAATATCCACTCTATTAATAGAGTTTCACGATCAAATCACGTATTTGATTATCTATTAAGGATATTCAATATTCAGGGGGTAAAGATTTCGCATTCAATTATATACTCAAATTAAATCGAAATCAAATATAATATATATTTTATTAATGAACAATGAAAATGTATATCACATATACTCCCACTCACATCAAGACCAATCACTAATGTGTCTAAGGCCTAAAGCGTTACAATGACGCTCATGCTTAGGTTGTGGAAGAGCCTTCGTCAACGGATCAACTGTATTCAACTCCGTTGCAATTTTACACAACTTGACATCACCTCTTTCAATGAATTCTCGAATGAGATGATACTTCCTGAGTATGTGTTTGGTCTTCTGGTGAGACCTAGGCTCTTTACCTAAAGCTATGGCCCCATTGCTGTCACAATAGAGGTCCACTGGAATCGAACTAGTGGGACTGATTCCCAGTTCTTCTATGAACTTTCGAATCCAAACAGCTTCCTTTGATGCTTCTGAAGCAGCAATATACTCAGCTTCTGTCGTAGAATCTGCAAGAGTTTCCTGCTTGGAACTTTTCCAGCACACCGCTCCATCATTCACGCAAAAGACAAAACCTGACTGCGATCGAAGGTCGTCTTTGTCGGTTTGAAAACTAGCATCAGTGTAACCATTTACAGTGATCTGTTCCTCACCTCCATAGACTAAGAATAAATCCTTAGTTCTTCTCAAGTACTTAAGGATATTCTTGACAGCAATCCAGTGAGGTTCCCCTGGATCTGACTGGTATCTACTTGTCATGCTCAATGCATAAGCAACGTCAGGACGAGTGCATAACATAGCATACATGATGGATCCCACAGCTGATGCATAAGGAATCCTACTCATGCGGTCTCGCTCATCTTGTGTTGAAGGACACTGAGTCTTGCTAAGACTTATGCCATGTGTCATTGGGAGAAAACCTTTCTTGGAATCTTGCATATTAAACCTATTGATGACTTTGTCAACATATGTACTTTGACTCAGTCCAATAAGTCTCTTAGATCTATCTCTATAGATCCTGATCCCCAAGATATAGTTTGCTTCTCCCATGTCCTTCATGGAGAAAAATTTTCCTAGCGATGTCTTAACTGACTGAAGCATAGGAATGTCGTTTCCAATGAGTAGTATGTCATCCACATACAACACTAGAAATACAATTGCACTCCCACTAGACTTCTTGTATACACAAGCTTCTTCTTTGTTTCTGATGAAGCCAAACTCTTTGACAGTTTCATCGAAACGAATATTCCAGCTCCGTGATGTCTGCTTCAATCCATAAATAGAACGTTGAAGCTTGCATATCTTCCTAGTGTCATCTGGTGATGTAAAGCCTTCAGGTTGTGTCATATACACATCCTCCTCTAGGTTTCCGTTAAGAAAAGCTGTCTTTACATCCATTTGCCATATCTCATAATCATAATATGCAGCACACGCTAGGATAATCCGAATGGACTTAAGCATGGCCACTGGCGAAAAGGTCTCATCATAGTCAATACCATGAGTTTGTTTGAAACCTTTAGCTACTAGCCGTGCTTTATAGATGTGAACATTTCCATCCATATCAGTTTTCTTCTTGAAAACCCACTTGCACCCTATAGGTTTGACACCTTTAGGTGGATCAATCAAAGTCCAAACTTTGTTTTGATACATTGAGTCCATTTCGGATTTCATGGCCTGAAGCCATTTATCGGAGTCTGGGTCCATCATAGCTTCTGTATAGGTCGTAGGTTCGTCATTTTCTATTAACAATAGATGACGATGTTCTGTCACGTGAAAACCATATCTCATAGGCTCACGATGTGTTCTTTCAGACCTACGAACTATAGGTGCCACTGGAGTAGACTCTACAACTCTTTGTAGATCTAATTGAGGTTCCTCATGAACTGGAACATCCTCTTGTGGCACAATAACTTCTTCGAGGTTTACCTTACTCCCACTGGTTCCTTTAGTAAGAAACTCTTTCTCTAAAAAGACACCATTTCGAGCAACAAACACTTTGTTCTCTGATGGATTATAAAAGTAATATCCTTTCGTTTCTTTAGGATATCCGACAAAGAAGCATTTATCAGATTTGGGTCCAAGCTTATCAGAAAGTAAACGTTTTACATAAGCTTCACAACCCCAAATATTTAGAAAAGACATACTAGGAACTTTTCCTGTCCACATCTCATATGGTGTCTTCTCTACAGCTTTTGATGGACTTCTATTTAGTGTAAACGTAGCTGTCTCGAGTGCATATCCCCAGAAAGATAATGGAAGATCTGAATGACTCATCATTGATCGAACCATGTCTAACAAAGTTCGATTTCTCCTCTCAGAGACACCATTCCACTGTGGTGTTCCAGGGGGAGTGAGCTGTGAAACAATTCCACACTCTTTGAGATGGTCATTGAACTCTTGGCTTAAATATTCTCCTCCTCGATCAGATCGAAGAGCCTTGATATTCTTGCCAAGTTGATTTTGTACTTCATTATGAAATTCCTTGAACTTTTCAAATGAGTCAGATTTATGTTTCATCAAGTAAACATATCCGTATCTACTAAAATCATCAGTAAATGTAATGAAGTACTGATAACCTCCTCTGGCTGTAGAACTTAGTAGTCCACACACATCAGTATGTATAAGGGCCAATAATTCTTTTGTCATCTCACTTTGATTAGTAAAAGGAGCTTTTGTCATTTTCCAACTAAACAAGATTCACATGTATCAAATGATTCAAAATCAAATGAATTTAATAGTCCATCGCTATGAAGCTTGTGAATTCGTTTATCGTTTATGTGGCCTAATCGACAATGCCATACGTAGGTTGGATTCAAATCATTAGATTTAAACCTTTTTGTATTTATATTATAGATTGGCACATCAAGACTTAGAACATATATCCCATCCACAATATGGGCGCTACCATAAAATAATCCATTAAGATAAAACGAACAACTATTGTTCTTTATATCAAAACATAAACCTTCCTTGTCCAAAAAAGAAACAGAAATAATATTCCTGCGTATAGCAGGTACATAGTAGCAATTATTCAGTTCTAAAAACATGCCAGAAGGTAAAGCTACATCATATGTTCCTACGGCTAATGCAGCAACTCTTGCTCCATTCCCAACACGTAGCTCCACTTCACCTTTTGTAAGTGTTCTACTTTGTTTTAGTCCCTGCACATTCATACAAATGTGAGTACCACAACCGGTATCCAATACCCATGAAGTAGAACTAGTAGTAATATTTACTTCTATAACATAAATACCTGAATCGGAAGTCTCACTTCCCTTTTTCTTCAGATCCTCCAAATATTTCTTGCAATTCCTCTTCCAATGTCCATTCTCCCCACAATGGAAGCATCCAGCATCAGCAGTCGGACCCGGTTTGGTCTTGGATTTGGGTTTAGGCTTAGTGCCCTTGCCCTTACCCTTGACCTTACCTGGCTTCTTAAAGCCTTTCCCCTTTTGAACCATGAGAACATTAGGGGTAGGGTCCTTCTTGATATTCTGCTCAGCAGTTTTGAGCATCCCATGCAGTTCAGTCAAAGACTTATTCAGATTATGCATATTATAGTTCATAACAAACGTGTCATAATCTTGAGGCAATGACTGAAGAATAATGTCAGTAGCCAACTCTTGGCTAATGGGAGAGCCCAGTCGCTCCAGGTTTTCAATATAACCTATCATCTTTATGACATGTGGGCTAACTGAGCTCCCACTTGCTAGCTTGCACTCAATTAAAGTCTTTACCGTTTGGTACCTTTCAGTGCGTGCCTGTTCCTGAAACAAATTTTTCAGGTTCATGATCATATCATAGGCATCCACGTTCTCAAACTGCTTCCGAAGGTCTGAGTTCATGGTAGCTAACATTAGACATGATGCATCCAATGCATCATCTTTATGCTTCTGATAAGCATTCCTTTCAGCATGGGGAGCGTTGGAAGGAGGTGCCTTCTGAGGGAGTGGTTTCTCCAGGACATAATCCTTTTTCTCTTGCTTGAGAACAATTCTCAAGCTTCTATACCAGTCCAAAAAATTCGAACCATTCAATTTGTCCTTCTCAAGGACAGATCGCAGTGAAAAGTGTGATGCAGAGCTATTTGCCATTATCTACAACAAATATGCAAAGTGAATTGTTCATTAACATTATAAATAATAAACTCCAACTATACTTTTATAACATGTGTCACAATAAGTATAGTGGACCAAGATCCATATTTTACCAAGACTCGAGTAAACTTTGGCTTACCGCTCAAGACTAAGTTATTTAGGTAGACAACTATTTGTCAATTGTATCGAATACAACTCTTGGTTATTGGGGTTGACATCTCATATCTTATCCCCAAACACTATGCCTCAAGGCCCAAAACCGTTTTGATAGCCTCGTTAAGTAAACCAATCTTGACTTATGGATAACCATTATCCATCCTATTTTACTCAAATAATTAAAGACACCCTGCTTTGGCAGGCCCATCTTTTGACGATTCAAGTCTTAATAGGTGTATGATTGGAAAGGCATCATATTATTACTTAATTTTATGAGGGACTCTTAATAATTATGTAGTGGTGAATGTATGCATGTTCTGAACATCAACAAAGCATCACTTATAACAACAAAGATATATCAATCATACGGGAACGACCAATTCCATGCAGGGGTCAAGGGGGCTGCGCCCCCTTGCGGGGTCGAGGGGCAGCGCCACTCGCGGGGTCAAGGGGCAGAGCCCCTTGCGGTGGTCTCGCTGAGGAGAGCCCCGAAAACTTAGACAGAATTCTCAATTCTGTGTTCTCGGGAAACTTTCCGTCGCTGCCGCCTCCCGCGCCCTCACCGTACGCAACTGGCCGAACGCCGCGAGTCCTCGACGCGCCGGAAGACCAGGCGCGCTGCCGTCTCTGCCTCGAGCAGCAGACCCAAATGCGCCGTCGTCTTCGTCCGCCGTCTCCGCCTCGGGCAACAGGCCCAGACGCGTCGCCGTCTCCGCCCGCCGTCTCCGCCTCGGGCAACAGGCCCAGACGCGTCGCCATTTCCGCCCGCGGTCTCCGCCTCGGGCAACAACCCAGGCGCGACGCCGTCTCTGCTTCGACGCGAGCGGAACAGGATCGACCCATCCCTGCTTCGTTCCTTCTCAATTGATCATATCAATTCGTATTTTAAATTCATCTAACCCTAATTTAGACTCACTTCAGGCATACATCATATGTATCAACAATTAGGGTTTTCGATTCAATTTCAATATATCACAAGTAGCTCTGATACCACTGTAGGGTTCATCAACGAAAAACAACGCAGCGGAATATAGAACCCTAGACAGGATCCATGTGTATATTGAAATCGAAAAGGAATTTCGATACGTACCTTTTGCAGATCGAAGATAAATCAGCAACTGATTGTGTCTGGATGAGCGCCCCAAGCGTTGCGCCTCTACCGGTATCCACACACACGAACGGAATTCTCCAACGATCCATAGCGAAAGATCTTGAAGTTTCTTTTCTTGAACGCCTTTTGATTTTCGATACTCTATCGAAAAACCCTAGACAGAGAACGATTCTCTATCTATTTATACAGCCTCATTATCTAGCGGAATTAAAAGGAGTGGGCCGGGCTATTTGGGCCCGCCAAACCGTCCACCATTCAATCGTACGTTTAATCGTTATCTCATAACGCGCACGATCGCATAGATAATTTAAATAGGAGAATAAATTAAAATCTACTTCTTAAGTAGATCAAGGCGCATAGACAATATTAAGTCCGTTCGCTATTGTGTGCGACCCTGTAGGTTCACTAAACATTAGCAGTGTGCCCAAAACTCTTTTGGCCCACAAGTCATAAGCGGTCTCTAGCAACACATTATGACTACCTAAGTATAGTGAAGATCGGTTTTCCGACACAACCTAATCCACAACTAATATTAGAGTATCAATCTTGATTGATTCTTAGGGCAGACCACTAACAGTAGGACCATAAATGAGGAGGACGAAGTAAATGCGAAGAAGATGATTGTAATCGGGTTATGGTGCATTCAGATCGATCCGAGAGCTCGACCATGTACAACCCAAGTTGTGGAGATGCTAAAAGGAAGTGTTGAGGCCTTGCAAATTCCTCCCAAACCCATTTTGTCATCACCCTCAAGATCGCTTACGGCTTGTCCATGTGAAAGTTCGTCTCTGCAAGAGAGTAATGACTCAAATTGGGGTTATTCAATATCAAGTATAAGAGACCGACATAGTTTGTAACATACTATTTGAAAAAAAAAAAGCAACTGCAAAATTAATGATTATTGAGTTGTTCATAAATTTGTGATCAAATGTGTTGGTTGAATTTCTACAAGCACGATGCCAAAAAAAAAGAGAAATTGCATTGTTGACACCTAAATTTTCACATATGGATCTCTATCACATTTTATCAAAATTAGGAATCTAATTTATGACATAAATTGACCCCCTAACCCAAAAAATTGACCCCCATATCATTTAGTATTTACATAGCTTACTACATCTCATCACGATTAGGGACACTGTGATTTTAGAATTTTCACTACGGCATGGTTAATCCAATTCATAGACCATAAATAAAATAAAAAACAAATGAAAATAATAAGTTAAATAATTATAAAAAATGGAAACAAAGCTCGCAGATCAGTTTATATTTCACAAATACATTAACTTTATCATACCAATTAGGGGTGAGCATGATTTCAGGGTAGAACCTAAAATCTAAGAACCTAACCTGTGGGAACCGGTAGATTCCAGGTTCAAGGTATGCAAGATAGATTCCGAGTTCCAAAAATTAGGAAATCTATTTCGACGAATAGGTTCCAAGTTGTAGGTAAGTAGAACCTAAAACCTTACACAAGTTTTTTGTGTTTTTTCTTAGTCTATGTCTTCGCGTGATCCCGCAGTATTCCATTGTGTTAAATATATCTTGAATTTTATGTACTCGGTTCGGTTTATCACCCGACCCGACATATTTTTGTGCGACCCAAAAGTGGAGAAAAAATTGAGATTTAGTTCGTGACGCGGAGGGTTGGGCCGATATTTTTTGGGAGCCCTATTTATACCGCGGCTAAATTTTCTCATTGATGTAGAGAGAATTTTGTTTTCGAAGAGATTTGTGAACTGTGAGATTTTGTTAAGTCGTTGTTTCGACTTCTGCAAACTGTACTTTCTTTGATTATAATGGAATCTTATTTTGCCCCGCCCATGGACGTAGATCACCTTGTGATCGAACCACGTAAATTCTTGTGTTCTAAATTTGTTCTTCCACATTTGTTTCCAACACATTGCATTAGATAATTAGTGTATAATCTGGTACAACTAATTTAAGCTTTCATTTTATGACTTATTAATATTTCATATTTTTTGTGTGTCTAAATATAAGTTATGGTCGGTGGGTCGTAGCAGCAAGTGGTTGTCATTAAAGGTAATGATTCATTGCAATTGTTCAATTAATAATACATGTAAAACTTGGGTAGACTTTAGAACTGACCCTAGAACCTGTGACAGAATAGATTTCAAGTTCCAAGATACGTATGGTAGATTCTAGGTTCAAAAAAAATGATAAATCTGTTCCCATAGATAGGTTCCAGGTTTTAGGGAGAATCTATATAGAACTTGAAATCGCTCACCCCTAATATCAATTAACCACTAAGAATGGGCCTCATTTTGAAATGGAGCATAGAGAAAATATTGGTGGGACAAAGAGGAAGCACGCATCACATGGCCTCAAGCATGCAAGGAAGGAGGCACCCACTTTGCCCTAATCTTTTTCAGAACATTTGGCTTAAAGGCTTGAAGTATGTAAAGAAAAAAGGAAATGGGATTTTAAAGGACATATTCTCTCTCTCTCTCTCTCTCTCTCTCTCTCTCTCTTCCTCTTTCTCCCTCTCTCTCTTGTTTCTATGTAGGTTAGACGATATTTTCCTTGATTTTCTATATTTCTTATGATAATGTATATATCTAAGAGATTCTCCGTATCTCCATTTGATTATGCAAATTTGATATGTTACCTTAGCTAATGTAGCAACCTACACCTCGAGGGCCTCCTCGGGAAGTAGATTTAGAGGTATTTTATGGGACCTTCCCTAAGTTCATACCTTGCGTAATATTGATTGTTTAAATTTATATGTTCGATAGGAGTCGCCACTAATCACGATGAAGGGTCGGCTAGAAACCCTAATCAAGATAAGGGAGTGTTATCTCAAAAACATACGCAACTAGAGATTCTTAGGGATCAGAGACTTAATTACACTAGTTTTTTCAATTAATGCATTTTCAGTACCTAAACTTGATTATTTGCTAACCAAAATGTCAGGGCATTCTTTCACAAATCGAGAATTTAAAATTTCGTCCTAACCATTCTAAAAAAGAAAAACAACAAAAAAATGTATTTAAAGTGCGCAATCAAATGAAAACAGAATGAAAGTGCACAAACAACGACCTAGCATCGTCTCTAAAAAAAACAATAAAAAATCCCTAAGATAAAACCCTAAAAGCTTATTCAATTTTGGTTTCAATTTTTGTTCAAACCTAAAGTGTTTATTAAAAGCTCTAAACTATGTGAATTCTAATTTTTTTTATAGCTTTTTCCCCATTTTTTATTTTTCTGGATTTTCAGAATTTTTTTATTTTTTTATGAATTTTTTATTTTGAAAAAAGAAAAGGACTCCGGACCGGGTCAAGGAACCCGGTCCAATTAGCTAGTCTGATTCAGACTCTAGCGGTCCGGGTCAGATTCGCAATTCGGACCGGTCCTTGGGCCCAGTTAAAATTTGGGTCTCTTCTGATGAGCTATCAACAATTCAAGCCCAAGTTTTCCAATTTTTTTTATTCATTTTAGCCCAACTAAAAGTTCAGCCCAGTCACAAAAATGTTGATCCCATTTACCTGTCTTAATCTCTAGCCCATCAGCTCCTCTGCTCCGACCCAAAGAGAACCCGACCCGGTTTTCATTATATCCGAAATTTCTATTTCTTTTTCTGATTTTTTTTTAATTTCTTTTATTCTCTATTTTGTATTTCGTTTTTTTTTTTCTATTTTCTATTTTTCCTTTTCTCTGTGTCGTCATCCTCCTTACGTCTTCCTCACCAGAACTCCCCTGGACCAATTTTTAACGCGAACCTCATGCCGGAGCTCTGGCCAACGGATCCCGCCATCAACACTAACTGCCAACACCGACCACCACTCCCCGTCGGTCGGCCGACGCCAAATCACTGCCGGCCACTAGCTGGTCGGCAGTTTCTAAAACGCCGGTCACCTATTCCGGCCCAAAAAATTCATTCACCAAATCCATACAACTAATCTAGTATACAAACAAGCATATGCGTACTAAAACGGAGATGAGTAGACTAACTCGGGCGGCCTCAAACCGCTGGCTTAGCTCCGGCGAGGGGGAATATATCTCCGACGGAAGTCTCATCCATGACCGAACCCTTATGCATAAATGCCACGGAATCACGGAAAAAAACACCGGATTCAGTATTGATTCATCAAACTAAGACCGAATCAAGCACAAAAGAACGAGCTCCACGCATCGATTTCACGAAAATCAATTCGGTTCTTCAGTTAAGCATTTTGTCGAACATATGATATGCAACTTCGGAAACGATTTTTCCGATTTGATTTCCAAACGATTTTCCGCTTAAACACAGCATACAAAGTTCTGAATCACCAATATATTCCACAAATCCACTTCGGTCTCACACGATTTTGACCAGAAATCATTCATTAAATTCGGCGCTCTATGCCTCAGTGTAACATAGAGAACAAAGCATTGCAAGCAGGAAGTTTACCTGGTTACTGTGGCAAGAAGGAAACGTTAGGATCCAGTCAACTGAGTTCCACAAAGTCGTCAGCCTTCTTTTCCCGGATGACGAACAGTTTTAGTTGATGTCTTCTTCGTTGAAATTTCTATTTTTATAGTTTTGCAAAAGAAATGAATGCTTGGATGGTCTACGAAAATTCGGGTGTCAACAGATAATAATCTCATAAAACCTATAAGTAAGTTGTACCCTTCATAATTATACATCGAATACATAGAAATTTCATAATTTTCAATTTCACATATTTTTAATCTGTTGCCGTGATTTGAAGGAGCTCATTCGGGCCGAAGTACTGAAGGCAAGATTAATGTACTTGTTTCGTTTCAATCTTTATTTCCTCGATTCATCGTCATTAGAGCTTAAACTCCGAAGTTCAAAGTCGAATATGAGAGCAAAATGTCTCGATAGAGTAATGAGTAATGTGTTTTCACGTCTAGGAGTAATGTTATCTTAGGTAGAATCAGTCTTTTTTTTTTTTATGTTAATTCAAAAAAAGTTACATTTCGGTTTGTTTTAAGGTTGATGCTTGTCGGTATTTTAAATCCTAATATATCCCATTGCAAAGCCGTGAGTTCCTCATCATCTTTGTTGAATATTCATGTTTCCTTGTATCATTTCAGCTCATTTAGTGATTATTTAATTTTAAGGATAGCATACGACAACTCCATTTTGTATTTTGTACCATATGTGTCTGTTTTTGTGTTTAAATCCATCTGATTTGCTCGGGGAAAATTGTTTAAAGAGTCATAAACCTATTGCGCTTTTATCAATGTAGTCCTAAACCTTTCAATTTTGTCAATTGAGTTCTAAGTCTTAAATATTTTCACTTGTTGCCAATTCAACCCATTCGACCAATTTTAGCCAGAAATTGCTAACTTGGACGCCAGCCAGCTTACGTGGCGCTGACATAAACAATTTTTAAAAATATTTTAATATTTTTTAAAATTTGTATTTTGATTTTTCTTTTCTATATTTTTTCTTTTTTTTCTTTTTTTTTCCTCCTCTTCTTCCTCCTCCAGCCGGGCTCAGCCTCGCCCAACGACGGCGAGGCTCAACCTCGCTGGCCCTTGCCTTTGGCCAATTGCCAAGGCCCGGTGACCGGCTGGAGTAGGAAGAAGGGGAGGAAAAAAAAGGAAAGAATAGAAAATCAACTTTCATGCTTATACAAAATCAATTTAGACCGAGTTCGATTTTCTTCTGAGCTCGAGTTCGAGATATCATTTCAACAAATCCTTTTGCTACTCTCCACTCTTCTCCTCAGCTTTTTCCACTTTCAAGTCCATTGGTATAATTTATGCGCCACTTGCGAAACATGGTTGTTTGCGACGACCAAGACCAAGACCAAGACATTCCTTCACAGCCAAACATTTTTCCCCATGCAGCGCGTATTACATATACGAAGTTGAAACAGGAACAAATATGTCGAAGAATGACACTAGGTATACTAGAAAACTAAAAAATTACTTTTGTAGTCTGGAACACTACTCAGTACATCAATTTAATGTAACAATCTTAATATACCTAATGTCGCCTCATCATCTGAATATTAACATCCTCTATTATAATATAACCATGGCTGATAATTGCGTCGATGCATGGTGCCGACTAACCTTGGATTTTTCCATGATAGTTTTTCAGTATTATTGTGCCGTAAAAGATTATTCTCGAGAATTCTAGAAAATGAAAGTACCATGACGTTATAATACTTGATTACACATGAAATCTTATTTGTCAATGATTTAAGATGATTAATTCCTTAATCTTACTGTAGCCACATATATTATACAAGCCATCGATCTCACTCCATCGAGTTATCAACTTATTGAAGACTAAAAGTGTAAAAGAGAATATAGCAAATTACACTGCGAAAAGTTTTGTTACCACATAACTTACTAATAAATACCGGGGTTCAAAACACTAACAGCGGGTGATTACTAATTTCATGATTGCATTGGGCTATAAGTTACATTAAAGGGAGCGGGAACTCCGATAAGGGACAAGAATCCCAATGAAATGTGCAACATAATATAAACAATTAATTTTTGTTGGCACTAAAGTTTTGTATGTTGGAAGAAAAGACAGGGACAAGAATCCTAAGCGCAATTTCAACGCGTTGGCGAGTCCTCCATCCATATTGTGATTGAGAGGTCCCGTTGACTAGGAAGTTTCATGGTTTGTTCCTCAAGACTTTCCAGGGCAAATTTTTCCGCGTGGGACATTGATGCATTAACATCGAGTGTTCGAATAATGCATACATGTGAATTCAATTGACATGGACTCTTGAATCGGATAGACCTAATTCATTTAACAAGCATAGTTGAGAGATTTGTCATTTCACTTAAAGTTTTTATCATGGATTATTCTAAAGAACTAGTCAGGAATTAAATTTGAGAAAATTATCTGAAAAATCCTAAACCTATTTCACTTTTATCAATTCAATTCTCAACTTTTCAATTTTGCCAATTAAATTCTAAGTCTTTTCAAGTTTTGCCAATTGAATCCATCTGTCCAATTTTGACCAGAAATCGCTGACGTGGACGTAGGTCGTCCTACTTGGCACGACTAGTGCTAACGTAGATTATTTTAAAAATTATTTAAATATTTTTTCGAATTTATTTATTTATTTTTCCTTTTTTTCTTTTCTTTGTTTTTTTTTTTTTGGTTAACTCTGGCCAGCGACCCTCGCCTAGAGCCGGCAAGGGTCAGCCGGCAACCCTTGCGAGCGAAAGCTAAAGAAAAAAAAAACGCACCGACTTCCTTTGTGATTAAGTGTAATCAACATGTTAGCAATTCCTTGTTATCAATGCTCAATCAATGATCTTGATGTCAAGCATGGTAGTCCAGTTAAGTCTAACCCTTTGTGGTATCGTCTCCTTTCCATTCCGATGTTAGAATGAACTCTTCATGGTCGATGCCTACTCAAGCCTTAGATCTGAAACCAGATCCGTTAGCACCACGCATTGATGCAATTAAAATAGGATATCAGTATTCTAGTATATGGTAGCTAGCCTACGTGAATATTCAAATGATGAGGTGATATTAGGTATATCACGATTAGTCATTTAACTTGATTTACTAAGTGATGTCTCAGACTATATAAGTCACATTTCAATTACCTATTACACTTTTCATTAAAAAAAATCACCCATTATACTTAGCATTATTCTTCCAATGGCATAGAATTACCTATTTCTTTCCCTTTCTTTACCTTGCAGAAAGAAAGAAAAATGATTGATCGTCTAATTTTTCCTAGAAAAGAAGATACAAGCAAAATTAACAATTCATGTTTCAATGATTTATGCATTAGTAAATGCGCCGTGAAGATATATAGTGTATTCTTTTCGTTTGAGTCCGGGGTCACCAGTCTCGTATATAGATACACTCAACCGGGCTGGAAGAGAAACTTTGATTTTGACTCGTTCAAATCAGTGTAAACGCTGAACATTTGAAGTGTCATTTTCTGGTTTTCTTTTGATTCTTCTTCTTGGCTGCCTTTTTGGTTGAGATATTTTCTCCGAAACATGACATTTGGAGAGAGTGTCTAAGGTCCAACTTTAAACCATTGATTAGACTCTAAGACAATATGATTACACCTTAAAATGCCAATGCACGATATTCCTTCTATTTAGAGATGAATCTCACTGGTGGGTCCTCTAGAAAATATTTTGGTGAACTATATTGTATGCATTTCGGAAAGGACCGAAAGGAGGTGGATTTTCACATTGAGGAAGACTAAGTGACGCAGATAGAAGTGATAACTTGGAAAACTCTTCCACGATTCGACTGGAATTCAATTCAATTTCATAATATCTGAATAAAAAGCTGGACGTCCTTTTATAATGATAGGACTCCTAAAGATATCCGAATTAATGAAGATAACATCAAAGCAAATCAAATCAAATCTAATCTTATCTAATAAAATCAAATCTAATCTTATCTAATAAAATCAAACGAAATATTGATAATTCGAAATTGCCTAAAGTAAAAAAAACTGCCTAATCAGAAAAACTGCCGAGATTTCCGGCGATTACGGCAATCACATTCTTTAAGATAATCACAGGCTAACTGTTCTACATCACTAAGTTAAGAGCTTCCCATTAGTGCATTGGATCAAGTCATTCCAGTCATTCCACTTTCTCGATCATTTGCGACACCATCTCATCCTTGTCCCAATTCGGCAACATCTCCATATTCTGGACTGTTGGCAATCATGCTGTACTCTGCGGCTTCCCTGGCCAGAATTGCTTGTCTGGCTCCGATTACCCGATGCTCTCTCTTCCGGACAACACCTACTTCGTCACCAAAGAGGACATTAAGGAGATTGGTCATATTACAAAAGAAAAGGACGGCCCTATACTTTATTGGGTGGTTCTAAATTTTGTTCCCTGAGAATTGTAAGGCAATTGCCTGGCGATCTTTTATGCTTAGGAATGAGCTCAAAAAACTCTGATAATTAGTGAGGGTTGCGCGTACAAACTGTTATATGGGAATACTAGTCCAAATCCTATATCAAAGTCTTGGTCTTCGTTCAACTAGGAAAGGTCTCAGTCTCTTGGCAAGACAAAAAGCTTCTCATTAGTGCATTGGATCAACTCATTCCCAAAGCAGCACTATTCTTATCCTCTGCATCCTCTTCCTTTATATGTACCCTCCCTTGTTTGCTCCAAAACCATCTCCCTTTGGATGGATCTTACCATGTCATATTCCTCTCTCCCCTTGCTCTTCACCTTCTCCCTCCAAATTCACTTCCTGGTGCCAGCTTCCGGTGAATTCCTGCCGTTCCAAGAGTGCGCTCCTTTTGTTTGCGATAATCAACAAATCAGCTATCCTTTCAGGCATAGCGAGCAACCGAGTTATTGTGGGTATCCAGGCTACGAGCTCGGCTGTGACAGAGATAACCTGACCCTGTCCATGGAGTCCCTGGAATATCGGGTAATCCACATGAATATGAGCACGCAGATCCTTGAGGTGGCAAGGATGGATTTATCGGATGATATATGTCTTGGAAGACATGTCAACACCACTTTAAACTCCAATCTCTTCGACTACACTTCCAGTGACCTCACTTCCACCTTATTCTACGATTGCAATTCATTGCCTTCGCCGATCCCTGGATCTTATCAGTTCTCTTGTCCTGCATCTCGAGATGGCTACTTTGCTCCCAATGTGGATCTTGCAAACCCACCACACGAGCTATGCAACTTCAGTGTCCTTGTCCCAATTTCACCCAGTGATGACGCTCCAGCTCTACCACCACCATCGGAGGGCAGCAATGTTAGTGCTACTATTAATCGTGCTGCTATTAGTTTGTTCTTGAGCAAAGGCTTCGAGATCACCTGGATTGCCAACACATCGCAGTGTGAAAATTGCACTATTTCGGGGGGAAGATGCGGGTATGACTGGACAAGGCGAGAATTCAATTGTTTTTGCTCTGATAGAGCCTATCCAAGGACCTGCCACGGATCTTCGGGTATGTATGCTTACTCTCGCCTAACATGTCGTTTTCAATTCAGTTGTTCAATGAGAAGGATTGCTGGGCATACCCTTCCCTTTGCTTGTTAATTGGAAGCGACCCGCTCTTGCCCCTAAAGCCTGACAATCTCATTTGGCTGGGCATACAATTTAGACTGTAAGTTTTTAAAATTCTTGAGACCTCCATCATCACATCCTCTGCAACCTTCGCTGCCTTAATTGTTCGATCATGAGGTTGGTGCCTGCGTCCCAAAATATCCAACAATGGTTTAAATGTATTGAGTGAAGCTGCGCCGATTTCATGGAAGAATTGGCAGATCTTGGACTAAAACAACTTGCTTTTCTTCTTAGGATTTATCGTGCACATAACCACACAAAAGAAAGCTTCCATCTCTATTAGTGGGGCTAAAATCTGATCAAGTGTGCGATTGAAATATATAACAACCGATAGATAGGAGCTGTACATAGAATTAGATCTTAACCCTATAAGTAAAACAGTTTTTCAATTGGGCATGACCTCATTTACAAATAGTATAAGTGTGGATCAAAGCATGAGCCCTGTATTATTCAATACGATATATATGCACGATCTATTGCACTGTAGGAAGCACTCCTTTACTAGTTTCATCGCTACTTCATTTGGGATTCACTTGATAAGGCCTTGTGTCCTAGCAGGGAAACCAGGCATTTTGGGGACAAAAGCTATCATAGGTAATCCGCTAAACTGTGCTTTTCGCTGAGTATTTTATATATTCGCAACTTAGAAGCCTCGATAAAGTGATGAAGTGAGATTGTTGTTTGACGATATTCTGTTTTTTTAGGAATAGCTGCAATGGGAACAGGAATTGGGATCGCCTTTATTTTAATGATTTCCTTCAGGAAGAAACCAATGATCAGAAGAATTATGGCTTTGATAAAGCAGAGGAGCGAACATTTCGATGACAAAATGAAAATCGAGGGACTCATCTCTTCGAGAAGATACACCTACAAAGACATCAAGAGGATGACCAACTCTTTCAAAGAAAAGTTAGGCCAGGGAGGCTATGGTTGTGTGTACAAAGGCAATCTTCGAGATGGTCAACTTGTGGCGGTGAAGCTTCTAAAGAAGCTAAAAGGCGATGCTGAAGAATTTTTCAATGAAGTTGCAAGCATAAGCAGAACTTCTCATGTCAATGTTGTCAGCCTCCTGGGATTCTGTTTTGAAGGAAGCAAAAGAGCTTTGGTTTATGAGTTCATGCCCAATGGATCCCTCGAAAAGTTCATATTCAGCAGGAGTAACAATTTGGAGGTAGATCAACTATTGAGTTGGGACACATTGTACCAGATTTCCCTTGGCATAGCTCACGGACTAGAGTACTTGCATAGAGGCTGCAACACTAGGATCTTACACTTTGACATAAAGCCTCATAATATTCTCCTCGACGCAAACTATTGTCCCAAGATTTCCGACTTTGGTCTTGCCAAAATATGCCCGAGACAAGAGAGCATCGTGTCAATGCTAGGTGCTCGAGGTACCCCTGGATACATTGCTCCGGAGCTATTCATGAGGAATATTGGAGGGGTTTCTCACAAATCAGACGTCTATAGCTATGGTATGATGGTTCTTGAGATGGTCGGCAAGAGGAAAAATATCGAAGTCGCAGTAGATCGTACTAGTGAAACGTACTTCCCTCATTAGGTCCATCAACGCCTAGAGCTTCGAGAAGAGCTTGGGCTGCGAGGGATCACAAATGAGGACGATGAAATAATCGCGAAGAAGATGATTATAATAGGCTTATGGTGCATCCAGATCGATCCAAGAGCTCGACCATGTATGACCCAAGTTGCGGAGATGCTGAAGGGAAGTGTTGACACCTTGCAAATTCCTCCCAAACCATCCCTGTCATCACCCTCAAGATCACTTGCAGCTTGTCCATGTGAAAGTTCATCTCTACAAGAGAGTAATGACTCGAGTTTGGATTATTCAATATCAATTGTATGAGACCAACATAGTTTGTGAACAAGCAACTGCAAAATTAATGATTATTGACTTGTTCATAAATTTGTGATCAAATGTCTAGGTTGAATTTCTACAAGTACGATGCAAAAAAGAAGAAGAAGAAGAACAAGTGAAAGGTGCATTGTTGACACCTAAATTTTCACATATGGGTCTCGATCGCATTTTATCAAAATCAAGGATCTAATTTCTAACATAAATTGAACCCCCCCCCCCCCCCCAACCCAACCCAAAAAATTGACCCCGTATCATTTAGTATTCACATTGCTACATCTCATCACGATTAGGGACATTGTGATTTTAGAATTTTCACTACGGCATGGGTAATCCAATTCATAGACATAAGTTAAAATAAAAAAAATTGTATAATAAAAAGAAAAAAGGAAACAAGGCTCGCGGATCATTTTATATTTCACAAACACATAACTTTGTCATACCAATCAACCACGAAGAACGGGCCGAATTTTGAAGCCCATCTGGTGGGTTCGCCCCTGGCCCACTCGAGAGGGCCTTAATTTCGGCCCACGAGAGAGCTTTTGGTGGCCGCCCAGACGCTCTCAAATGGAGCATGCATTGGCCGGCCACCCATGAAGAATTAGGAGGGAAAAAGTTGAAAACCTGAAAAATTGGAGGGACGAAGAGGAAGCTCAAGTTAAACGGCCTCATGCATGCAAGGGGGGAGGCACAAACTTTGCCCTAATTTTATTCAAAACATTTGGCTTAAAGGCTCGAACTATCCAAAGAAAAAAGGGATTAGGGTTTTAAAGGACACATTCTCTCTCTACTACTCTCTCTCTCTCTCTCTCTCTCTCTCTCTCTCTAGCCGCATCTATGTAGGTTAGACGATAATTTCCTTGACTTTCCATATCTTCATTAGATTATTCATATATGATATGTGACCTTAGATAGTCATTTCATATAACCTATAAATAGGCCACACTCTTCATCATGATACATCAAAGACTTAGAAATTCCACATATTTCTAAACTCTTGCCGTGATTCGAAAGAGCTCATTCGGGCCGAAGTATTAAAGGTAAGATCGATGTATTTGTTTTGTTTCAATCTTTATTTTTTCGATTCATCATCACTAGAGCTTAAGATTCGGAATTCAAAGTCGAATTGGAGACCAAAATGTAATGGTCACATGGAGTAATGGGTTCCTTTTTTATAAGGAAATGTATGTGTTCTCACGTCAAGGAGCAATGTTATCTTCGGTAGAATCAGTCCTTTTTTTTATGTTGGTTGAAAAAAAAAATTACATTTCGGTTTGTTTCAAGGTTGATGCTTGTTGTTATAATAAATCCTAATACGTCCCATTAAAAAGCCGTGAGTTCCTCATCATCTTTGTTGAATATTCATGTTTCCTTGTGTCATTTCAGCTCATTTAGGGGTTATTTAACTTTAAGGATGGCATACGACAACTCCATTTTGTATTTCGCGGCATATGTGTCCATTTTGGTGTTTAAATCCATCTCATTTGCTTGTATTTAAATTCTGTCGAGTATCTTTTTGTTCTTACTTAGCATAGTTGTAGATCGCATTTACATCACATTTGTGTATATGTTGATGTATGCATGCATAGTAGTTGGTTTACTTCGATTTCTAGACATTCCGGTGCGATTTTTTACTCGTATATGAGGTGTTACATGGTCACATGTTGCTGTCCATGAGGTCTTGTGCTGTCCATGAGGCAAGTTCCCAATCGACCCTCACGGGTCTCCAACCTTTTCATGTAATTTTTCGGACTCAAGGCAAACCTTAATGCCTGCTGTGCATCTTCGGGGAGTTTCATGTTGATCTTTCGTGGCCCGAATGGTCAGTAGGCGCCCCCAGAATATCAGCGACTGTGTGAGAAATGTTCATAATTCCAAAAAAAAAAAAAAAGGCACCAATTCTACTTTGAGTAACAATTCTAATCCGAACTTTTTTTATCTCATAAAAAATCATCTTTCACTTAAATTTCAAATCTGACCAGAATAATTTAAAAATTTTACATTACGGGGGCCAGATTTTGAATTCGAGTGAAAGTTTGTACTTTTTATTGGGACAAAAAAAAGTACATATCAAAATTGTCACTCAAAATAAAGTTAGCGCTTTTTATGGAATTAGCCCGCGAGAAATGGAGTCTTAATGCTTGCTGTAGGGACTGTCTATCGGCACGCCCCTTACGTGTCCGGTCAATTTTCCTTCACTTCTCCCTATGTTGGTAGCCAATTTAGTTCAATTTCCAGCATTATCTTCATTTTTGGGGGCATTACATTTTGTCTTGATTTATATTTAAGTCATTGTTATTATGAGGGAAAAATTAACATTAATACAAAAAATAAAGTTGCATTTAGTTAAGGCTGCGTTAGTTTTGCGGAAAATGTAACATTTCTAAAAAATGTGTTTGAGGAAGTCATTTTCCAAGAAAATGATTATTTTTTGGTATTTGGCTAAAACCTGAAAATGAACTGAAAAATATTTTGTCGTTTGGTGTGGAAAATTTGATTTGATTTTCCTAATAGACATACACCATTCAAGCATTAATTGCTTGCGCATAGCTAGCGGAAGAATCGGGTATGGGTACTAGAGTCCCGAGTTTGGCCTAAAGAGACCCCGACCTGAGTGCCGAGGATCGGGGCATAGGCAACTGGGTCCCAGGCGCGGCCTCAATGGACCTAAGCGTGGGCACTGGGGTCTCAGGCCTAACCTCGTTGGACCAAGCACGGCCTTTGTGGACCCTAGCTCGGGTGTTGGGGATCCAAGCTCGGGTAATGGGATCCCGCACTCTGCCTTTATGGGCCTCGGCCTAGGTTTTAGGGCATCAGACCTGCCCTTGATGGACCTAGGCATGGGCAATAGGGATTTGAACCTAGGCACCAAGATCCCAGGCACTGCCTCAATGAACCTAAACCCGAGCCTCGGAAAACTGGTCTTGGGCACTGGAAACTTGCATTGAGATTTCCATATATAAGCGTGGAGTTTCGGATCGAAGCATCCAAATCTAGTCATATTTTGGAAAATGATTTCCGATTTTAATGATTTACAAAATTTAAGCATAGGTGTTTCATTGACTAGGAAAACATTTTCCTAAGCGAACCAAATGCCAGAAAATGAGAAAAAAAATTTCCGCGAAACAGATCGAGCATAAGCGAACCAAACGCTAGAAAATGAGGCTCTGTTTGTTTTGCGGAAAATGTGATGTTTTTGAAAAAATATTTCCAAGAAAATGACTATATTTTCTTATGTTTAGTTAAAACCTGAAAATGAAAAGAAAAATATTTTTTTATCGTTTGGAAAGGAAAATATTTTTTTGCTAAAAAACGAAATTCTATTGTTCGGTTGAGAGCTCTTCCCCATGTATAGAAGTGTACATATATAATTGAAGGATTATTTTTTATTTTTTTGCGGACACTTTTGTGTCAAAAGCAGCTCCACTCCCACTCTCTGCACCCGAATGCTTTTGGGTCGAACCAGATATGAATAACTGCCGCCACCACCATCTTCATCGACTTGAAAAATGCCCCAAATGCTTTTGGCATATGTGTCCATTTTGGTGTTTAAATCCATCTCATTTGCTTGTATTTAAATTCTGTCGAGCATCTTTCGTTCTTACCTAGCATAGTTTTAGATCGCATTTACATCACATTTGCGTATATGTTGATGTATGCATGCATAGTAGTTGGTTTACTTCGATTTCTAGACATTCCGACGCGATTTTTTACTCATATATCAGGTGTTACATGGTCACATGTCACTATCCATGAGGTCCCGTTCGGTCCATAAGGCAAGCTCCTAATCGACCCTTTGCAGGTCCGCAACCTTTTCATGTAATTTTCGGACTCAAAGCAAACCTTAATGCTTGCTGTCCATCTTCAGGCAAGCTCCTACGAATGGTCCGTAGGCGCTCCGAGAACATTGGTGACTGTGTGAGAAATGGGCCCAATTCCAAAAAAAAAGCACCAACTCTACTTTGAATGACAATTCTAAATCCAAACTTTTTTTGTCTTATAAATAATCACCAATTTTCACTTAAATCTCAAATCTGGCCCGAATAATTTAAAAATTTTACTTAACGAGTTCACTTAAATCTCAAATCTGGCCCGAACAATTTAAAAATTTTACATAACGAGTGCCAAATTTGGGACTCAAGTAAAAGATTGTGCTTTTTATCGAGACAAAAAAAAGTTTGGATTAAAATTATCACTCAAAATAAAGTTGATGCCTTTTGTTGGAATTAGCTAAGTGAGAAATGGAGTCATAATGCTCGCTGTAGAGACTGTACCGGGACGCCCCTTACGTGTCCGGTCATTTTTCCTTCACTTCTCCGTATGTTGGTAGCCAATTTAGTTCAATTTCCAGCATTATCTTCATTTTTAGGGGCATTACATGTTGTCTTGATTTATATTTAAGTTATTGTTATTATGAGGGAAAAATTAGCAGTAATAAAAAAATAGAGTTGGATTTAGTTAAAGCTGTGTTAGTTTCACAGAAAATGTAACATTTCTAGCAAATGTGTTCGAGGAAGTCATTTTCCAAGAAAATAACAATATTTTTCAGTATTTGACTGAAACTCAAAAATAAACTGAAAAATATTATATCGTTTAGTATGAAAAATCTGATTTGATTTTCTTAATAGACATACACTATTATGGTGTTAATTACTTGCGCATAGCCAGCGGGAGAATTGGGTACGGGCATTAGAATCCCGAGTTTGGCCTAAATAGACTCCGACCCAGGTGCCGAGGACCGGGGCATAGGCACCTGGGTCCCAAGCGCGGCCTCAATGGACTTAAGCGTGGACACTGGGGTCTTGGGCCTGACCTCAATGAACCAGGCACGGCCTTTGTGGACCTTGGCCTGAGTATTAGGGATCTAAGCTCGGGTAGTGGGATCCGCGCTCGGCCTTTATGGCCCAAGCCCAGGTGTCAAGGCATCAGGCCCGCCCTTGGTGGAGCATGGGCTCGACCTTGATGGACTTGGGCACAGGCACCAGGGATTTGGACCTGAGCACCAAGATCCCAGGCACAGCCTCGATAGACCTAGGCCCAAGCCTCGGAAAGCTAGTCTTGGATGTTGGAAACCAGCGTTGACGT